AATTTGAATGAAGGCGGATGGAATTTAGGCGATTTTTAAAAATTTATCTATATCCTTAACGTGTCTGTGTACCCCTTTCTTGAATACACATAAAAAGAATTCATTTAATGAAAATAAATTTAACAAAGTAAATTTCGTTATAAAGGTGATGTCCCGAAGGATTATTAGAATTATCTTTAAACGTCATCCAGTTTATTACTAGATGTAATTTTTCAATACCATATAGGACAAACGTAATAATCTGCAGTCTTTTCATATCGCGTTTCTCTACGCTTGCAACCGGAACAAACGTTTCACGTTTCAAACGCGTTTGGTATATAAAAAAAAAAAAAATCCTATAAATCCTTTTTATTTATAGGATATAAAATGATTGTAAAATTTCAAATTGTAAAAAAACCTTGTATAAAAAAAAAGAACAGCAGTTTCTTTTTTATTTGTTATGACGATATCAATTTGCGTGTTTGAGCTTGTGTTTACGCGTACGACGAGTACACAAATGCGTAAAACTGTCATCGGTAAACCAAACATGTCGTCAATATTATTTTAAAATTGTACAGTTTTATAATTACTTAAATCATGCGCTGAAAGTAAGTACACGATCTATCGGGGGTCGAATATATATGAGGAGTCCCAATCGGATTTCTCACCGATATCGTATGATTCGTGTGTGCCACATTTATTACCAACGTTAAACGTATATGCAGTTCGTATTGCAGCCGAGTCATCTCTTCTGAGCAAAAGAGATGACTCGGCTGCAATTAATGTTCTGGCGCGTTCGTCGCGCCGTGATTTTTATTGTTACGAGGTCATAAAGAGACGCTCCTCGACGGGGCGGGGGAAGGGGGGGGGGATGCGCGCACCATCGAGATATCGCGAGCGTTTAGCTTTCCGACATAACGCTACGAACTAAACTCAGGAGTGCTATGGATATGTGTGTCCGCGTATACTGTCCGGATATACTTCCGGTTTTCTCTCGTGGTACGCTAACGTATCTCGGAAAACAACGGTTGGTTGGTTGCTCTTTCTCTTCACCGCGCTGCCATTCGCCGTATTCGCTTTCGTGCGACTCTGTTCCTCTTCGTCCCTTTGGTCTTTCCTCCGCATCCTATTTTCGTATCCCTCGTAACTAAGTAATACCTCGATTTACGTAACATGATACAATAGCGACGGTACTCGCTAGCACGGCGTTTGT